GAAAGCAAAAGACAAATCTCAGTCACGGGCCCCGGTGAAACTTTAGCCTGATGTGAGAAGAGGAGGCCATGAGATCCTGTGCAGAATAATCGCAGAACATGCAGCTTCACCTGACTAGTTTCATTCGGGTGCAGTTTAGCTCGTAGCTCAGGGAGGGCACACATTTGCATGTTGCTGTTTAATCTGAGTATTCCAGCATGCATTTAATACAGAGATCAATAAAAAAACAAAAAAGCCCAGACACACACAGCCTGCTCTCAGGGGTACCTGACCTGACCAGAAGTGCCAGACAGGTCTGCCTGCGGGTTTCTTTTTTCACTCGTCTGTCTGTAATGTGGTTGGAGCTGTCAAGGTCTGAACACAGAGACAGCAAGTGTCAGAGGAAGACTGGTGAGAGTCTGCTCTGCTCCTGCATGGCAATGGGCCTTGGTCGAACCCACACAATGCCAAGGAAGTGGTGAACTATTTAACAGTTTCACTTCTCCTCACAGAAGTATTTTTTAAAGAATAACCTATTTCTACAAATGCCTGACTTATTTATTTCTGTATTAACAGAGCGGATATCGCAGCTCTTTACTGCAGTACAAAATTCCACTCATTTCCCATTTATATTACACACTACAATAAAGTAGTAGAATTTTTACTGAAACAAAAATTCGTTTACAAAACGAGTACGTAAAGAATTCGTTTCCTAAAATGGAAACAATGACACACAAATGCCACTGTTCCAAACTTCTGTAATTTTAGAGACGGGTGTTAGGTGTAAAAAACAACGATGTCTTCAGTAAAACCCCCAGATGTCTGATTCATCTGCATATCAAACTGGCTTCAAACCCTAAATTGAAAAGATTTGAGCCAAGAGATAAGCTTCTTACAGCCAAGACCACTGACTGAGCCCTTAGAGAACTAAACTGCAGAATGGTGCTGGTTTTTGACCTAAAATAAAAATAAAAGACTTAAAATAAAAATGACCAGCAGAGTGCTACTTCCCGAGTAAGAAACTCTTTTGACTCTTTTGAGTGGCAGATATCTAAATATTCACCAGGTAAGAAATGTCTTCTACTTTTTTGAAGGCTGGTCTGTTTCAGTTTCATTGAATTTGAAGACTGGGAATAGCTGTGCTTATGTGACCGTCGCAGTCCCGCGCGGGCTCACGCCCTCCGCCACCCGTTTCGTCCCACAACACCTGGGTTCGAACCCGGGTCTTCGGCGTAACGCAACAGGGAACCAGCCGAGTGAGCTAAAGGAGACCTCCCTCAGCCCAGGCAGCTGGGGTCCCTGCTACGCGCAGGGAGGGCGATGACATCACCGTATCTGAACTAGCTCCGCTACACCCTCCCCTGCTGACTTCGTCTCGGTGAATATAATAATCAACTATATTGATAATCATAATTATAATTATGAGTTACACCTCTCGGGAAAGATAAGAGAATTCAAGATATATACATAGGCTTACTTCTGTTGGATTATCTGCATTATTACAGGTGTACCAATCATATTTTGAACTGATATACCTGTACACCTGTTATCATGCAGGCAAGACTGGCTCTACAGTCTTTCAGCAGCAGCTTGTTCTTCTGCATTTGTTTGTACACAATTAAATTTCAATACAATACAAAAATTTGTGATCTGAGAATCTGTGTTTGAAAATGAGAGTCCCGTCATGCAAGGTTGATACCATG